ACGCGCTGAGACGCACACACGCACGAAGTGTTGCCGCTGAGGCGGGCTGAGTGGTGGCGGCGCGGCGGCACGCTTGGCGGCCTGCTTCTGCCGCGCCTCTCCCCGTGCTTCTCCCCGCGCCTGCCCCGCCCCTCGCCCCGCCAGACCGTCGCGGCCGGTCGCGGCACTCAGTGGCAGTCACGATCTGCCTCGCCTTCTTCCCGTTCGCACTCTCCTCCCCCCTCCCCCTTCCCGGTGCCCGCAAACGGACTCGAACTCGGAGTCTCCAGTCACTATTCCAGCAGCTTTGCATCGCTTTAGGGTTCGATCCCGCGACAAAACGGCAAAAGGTGAGCACGGAGCGGGTTTGTCACTAGCGGTGTGCGGTGGGCGGCCTGCCTGCCGGCGCCCCTCGCCGTCCTCGCCGTCCTCGCCGTCCTCGGCGCCCCAAAGTGCGTGTCCATCCAGCCGGTGCGGCGGACCGCGATGCCGCTCATTACAGGCACCAGGTGCAACCGGGTGTCGAGGAAGGCCCGGCCGAACGGTACGCGTCGACCGGGCAGCAGGCCGGCGACGACACGGCGACGAGTCGGAAGGCGAGGAAATAAAGACATGATCCCCGCGCTACTCTACACCTCCGGCGCCGCACATACCACTTCTTGGCACCATTTCCATCCGCCCCACCCCGGCCCACCCCGGCCCAGCGCATTGCACTGCGCGGCGCTCCAACACCGCCGCCACCACCACAACAGTGCCGGCGCAGAACTGCACTCGCTTTCACGAGACAGGCTGATGGAGATATGCAATACTCTGCTTATCACTCTTAAGTACTCATGACGATCGGCCCACTGCTCATCCTTCCGCCCAGATGGGCGGACGCACGTACATCCAGTGTACATCCGCCCCGGCCGGCAGACGTACAGACGGACTGACAGACACACAGTTAAGTTTATTAGTTCATAAAATGTCATGTATCGTGGGGATTTGAGATTTACAGTATTTGGGATGATGGTATTGACTTGTGTGACACAGACAGACAAACAGACACTCTCAGGTACGCGAAACTTTGATGAAAGAAATTTGTTTTCTGTCCAGTAAATCACCAAGTACTTTTTACAAAGATGGTTAATGGAGGCCCGAGCCGGACTTGAACCAAGGTGCTGGAAGTGCGGACGCGGGATTGTTTTCGACTCGGAGGGCGGAGCGCGGAGGGCGGCGCGTGCCGCGTGCGTGCCGCGTGCGTGCCGCGAGTGCGTCAAAACAGCTTCATTCCCCGCCTGCCCGGCCCGGCGCTGCAGCGCGCAGGCCCGACCTGTCCGCTTCCTGGTCGTTGCTGGTCCATAACTACTCCATTCCGCGTAATCTTTATCGTCTGGTTACGCCTCCCACGCCCGGGATGCGCGGCGGGCCGTGGCGGCCGTGGCGGCCGGGCGGGGGGGCTTGCGGGCTTTACCTCGTTCACCCCGATTCCGCGGTAGGAGGCCGCCTCAAGCAAGGACACGCATGTGGTGTTCCCGACCCTACTGTCGCGCCCATTTTTCCATTCTCTCACAGAATGAGTCCGAGTCCCCAATGGATTGAAAGGGGCCTCTCCGGCCTGGCACCCGCCCTCAGCAGGATTCACCCTACCGCCTGTCTTGATGTCCTTCTCTCTGGGAACATGAACATGGTAGGCTGGACCGGAAGTGACCCTCTGCCGATTCAGGCCCGCGGAGGGGTTTGGGGATTCGCCCGGGAATGCGGTTCCATTATTCCGGAGCTGGAGCGCATGGCGACGAGTGCCCTCCCCGACCCCGACCGCGGCACCGCGGCACCGCGGCCCGCCGCGAGGCTAGAAGAGGCTGCGACTTAATTGCCTGTTAATCGAGGCAGGTGTTTCCTCACCCGGCGTGCGTTACGCGGCGGTGCAGGCGGGGCTGGCCGGGTCACGGGGCCGTTGCGTGGCGCCGTGGGGCCGCGGGGCCGTGGCGCGTTATGCCCGCAATCAGTGCGCACACATGCAGTAATGCTCGCCCACGTCTTCAACACGGAGAAAGTCGGCCGGACGCCCCCCATCCCCACGCGTGGCCTGCGCGACTTCGATGCCAAAACAATCCAACTTTGTTGCCAAAACAATCCAATTTTGATGTCAAAATGAATCTATTTTACAAATTTGATGTTAGGGATATCTTTGACGACATTTTGACAAGACTTGTTCCGCCTTGGGTCCGGAGGAAATGTCAGTCGGTACGGTAGTGTCGCCTCATAGGTAGGCAAAAATTCCCACGTTGTATTAGTGGAGTGGTGAGAGGGTACTACACTCTGCGTAGTGACTGAGCGATGTTCTCGAGACGTTGCTGGGTGGGCATTCCTTTTCCCCTTTGCGACTTAGCATACTAGTGTGGCGACACTGTGGGCGAGAGCTGGGGACTGGAAACGCCGTGGTCTAGCCCGTAATGGTAATGGTAATGGCTGGGTAGGCCGGCGGGCGACACGTGTGCGCGCGGGTTGCCTACCACGAGTTCGCAGGGGCTCCACGCCGGCGGCGGCGGCACCATTCCCATTCCAGTCCACGCTCGGTCATCGGCACTTTCTTTTCAGGGTAACCGAGTGCGATCGAACGGGGCAGCGTCTCCAGCGTCGGCCTCGCAGGCCGCGGAGCGCCGCGAGGCTCCTGGAAACGAATTCCCCCTCCCCGCCGCTGCCCGCCAGTTCCGCCGCCATGCCGCTGCGGCTCATATGTATAACACGGATCGCTTATCTGCGGCCAGGCCGTCCGCCTTGCCCGCTTTGCTGCTTTGCTGCTTTGCTGCGGTTTCAGACCCATTTCGCTCCAAGGCCGCTGCCTTGGCCTAGCAGGCCGCCGTTTTGCCGGATAGCGCCCCGATTTGCACCCTGATTCGCGAGGTGTTTGCTGTTCCGCGCGTGCGCCGTGCCGCGCCGTGCCGCGCCGTGCGCGTGAGTGCGTTCCGGCGGCCTTATCGCGGCGTTATGCCGCGTTGTGTTGGCGACCCTGCCGGCAAGCGGCTCGTCGATTAGTCGATGTTCGTTGATTAGTCGATGCTCGTTGATTAGTCGATGCTCGTTGACGGCCGTCGGCAGTGACGCGCTGGACGGACCGAGAGACAATACGCCGGGGCGGCATAAAGTTATTTGGGCTCCGAAATCGGGCAGCTCGGGGCTCGGGACACAGCCTGTCCTTTTTGGCTATAAGGGTGATGCTGTTTTGAGCGAAAAGTTCTGGGTGTGGAAACAAATGCGCTGCCTTAACTAACCCCGCCGCGAACCCCAAAACACCGTGTTCGAAAAAGTTGAGATTCACGGCCTTCCGCTTCCGGTGCTTCCGATGCCGGCGGCACCTGTCGGCCTGTCGGCCTGTTGGCTGTCCTGAGCAGCGCGCGCAGCGTGGCGCCGCGCCATGCCAACCGACTGCCGACGGAAGCCCATCACTGGGTTACAGTGTCGTGCGCTGCCGTCCTCTCAGCACGTCCGACCCAGTGCAGCCACTCTGTCGTGGCACACTGACCGCCAACCAGCCGCGCCGCCCCCGCCCCGCCTCGCCCCGCCCCGCCCCGCCTCGCCCCGCCTCGCCCCGCCTCGCCCCGCCCCGCCTCGCCGCGCCCTGCTCCTGACCGAATAAGTGCCTTGAAAGGCAAAACTTGCCATTTCCGCTTGCCGTGAGGTCGCGCAGTCGAAAATAATGTCAAAATGTCGTTCATGGAAGGGCCAGGCTCCTTCCATGGGCTGCACTGCGACGTCGGTCGGGCGTTCCGCGAACGTTCTCGAGCGCTGCTTGAGGCGCTCGAGGCCCTTGCGGATGACCCTCGAGGCCGCCGTGCTGAACTGCCGTTCGATGAGAAGGCGGAAACGCGGCGGAGCCGTGCAGATGTTCGTCTGGTCCGAGTTGTACGGCGTGGAAAGCGGGCCGGGGAGTGGACGGCCAGACGGCCACCATGACCATAGGACCGCCCAGCGACCCAACGCCAAGTCGCGCATCGCTAAGTCGAGAGCAGTAAGCACTTTCACGCGTCGCGACGCGTCGCCTTGTCTTTCAAACGGTTCATGTCTTCGCGCGGCGCATCCTGCTGCTGTTGTCGTCGGGGCGGGGCGGGGCACCAGCTTTGGCGCCACCTCGGCCACGCCGAGTGGAGAAGCGCAGTGCCGGCCGCGGTCCTTAGTCCTTGTTTCGGGACTGGCGCGAGGGCGTGGCGGCGTGGCGGTGCGGGGCGCCCCGTGCCCGGGAATGTGTGCTGCGACGTGACGGCTTGGCGACGTGACGAGACTCGCAGGGCCTTGCTGGCCTTGTTGGGGTGCCGCAGGTGTGGCGCGCGGCCGGCAGGGCCGGGCTAGGCGGGCCGGGCGGGGCACCGGTCAGCCCGAGGTTACTAAAGGGTGCCGCGGCCGCCGCGTGGGGTCAGTCCGTGTGTCGCCGAGGCCGCGAGGACGTCGTCGAGGACGTCGTGGAGTGTCCCGTCGCGTTGAGCCGGCCGTCGGTAAAGCGCGTGGAGCGCGAAGAGCGCGCTGCCGTTGGGTAACGCACCGCCCGCTGCGCCACAGGGTGCGTCGCGAACCCCTGCGGAGGCGCACGACGCACTGCGCACTGCGCACTGCACGCACCTTACCGTCTGGGCGTTTCCCCCTGGCGTGCTCCTCCCACGCACGTTCCTCGGCGGTTCCTCCTGCGCAGCATCTTCTATGCAGAAAGCGTAATCGCGGAGAGGCATCTCGTCATGGTGGCGGAGCTGGCGGGGCGCGGGGCGGCGGCGGGCGCGGCGGGGGCGGCGTGGTCTGGCGGCGACGGCGTGCCGAGCACGGGCGTGCAGTTGCTACCGCGCTGGCTTCGGAGCGCCACCCGGGAGCATGTGCCGACTACCTCGCTGCAACGCGCGCACGCCCCGCCACAGCGCCACGCGCGCCACGACGACCCGCCGCCCTCGTACACGTGGAGCGAGAACCGCCCCCGCCGCGCGTGGGGGGCCGTCCACGTCCCCGCCGCCCCCGGGTGGCCGGCGCCGCTGCCTCCAGCCACAGCCCCTTGGACTATGAGCCCGCCCCAACGCAGGCCGTCGCAGGACTACGACCCAGCCGGGGCCGCCGCGGGCCCCGCCCCCGCCCCTGCGCCCGCCCTCACCCCCGTGCAGCCAGAGACCAGCGTCGACGACCAGGATCACGTCGAGGACGGCCACGACGCGGAGCCCGGCCAGGATGACGGCCCTCCAGAAGCCTCCCCCCGGAAGAGGGCGGCCGGCGAGCGCGGCGAGCAGACAGGCACCTCGGCGAGGACCCCAGGCAGGACACCGGCCAGGACGCCGGGCAGGGAGAACTGGAGGCTGAGGGATGACCCCTCCATCGGGCACGTCTGGCCCAGCGACTGGGGAAGTGAGTAGTGCGTGTTGTGTGTGTGTGCTTGTGTGTGAGTGAGTGCGAGAGTGTGGGTGACAACGGCGCAGTGCAGCGACTTGAGAGTGCTAACAGTGTTCTTTTTTGTCTCGTGTCCCCGAGCGCTTAGAGTGCTTTTTGAAGCATCTCTTCCCCCTTCCCCCTGTGCCCGGTCCCCTGCCCGGCCTGCACGGTCCAGGTGATCCAGGGCGCGAGCCAGGGCGCCCTGTGTGACAGCGTGTTGTGGCGCTGCGCGCTGTGGCGATGTGGCGTTAGGCTGCACTGTCTTAGACAAAAGCCGCGCTAATTAGTGGCTTCTGCTGGTGGGGCCAGGCAGGGGGCAGGCCCTGTAGGGCCCTGTAGGGGCTCGGCGGCAGTGCCGGCAGACTGGGGTAGCGCAGGGTAGCGTGTCAAGTTTGACCACGGCCGGCCGCCAGCTACCGCCGCTACGCTGTGCCAGTGCCGACTCCCTGGGGCCGCCACCACCACCAAGCCACCACCGTCTCTGCCGTGTCATGTCGGAAGTGGCATTGATCCCCGTCGTGCCGCGCCAGAGCCCCTCGAGACTCTGAGGAGTGGTCGGGTTGTGAGCTGCGGACTACAAAGGCCACGCCGTGTACGCCGTGTCACCCGGACCGGAGGCTGCTGAACGCTGAATGCCCACAGTGGCCGTCTCGCGTGTTCGGCCTTTCATCGTGGCCAGGCCCCGTGGCTGGGCAGGCCCCGCGCGACGCGCACGCCGCACGCCGCTTTGCCCTTTGATCTTTGTGCTCCGCCCGCCCAAGCGCGCCGAAGCGTCCCGTCTGGCCGCGGTCCCCCGCGATTCTCTTTTGTACATGAAGACGAGACACCTTGTTACCGCCACTATGCTGCTCTGCTCCCCAGTTAGATAGCGTGCGTTTTTGGTTTGCCGTGTACGGCTTTTGGTCTGCCTCATACGGTTTTTGATTTGCCGCATACGGTTTTTCGTTTGCCGTGTACGGCTTTTGGTCTGCCTCATACGGTTTTTGATTTGCCGCATACGGTTTTTCGTTTGCCGTGTACGGCTTTTGGTCTGCCTCATACGGTTTTTGATTTGCCGCATACGGTTTTTCGTTTGCCGTGTACGGCTTTTGGTCTGCCTCATACGGTTTTTGATTTGCCGCATACGGTTTTTCGTTTGCCGTGTACGGCTTTTGGTCTGCCTCATACGGTTTTTGATTTGCCGCATACGGTTTTTCGTTTGCCGTGTACGGCTTTTGGTCTGCCTCATACGGTTTTTGATTTGCCGCATACGGTTTTTCGTTTGCCGTGTACGGCTTTTGGTCTGCCTCATACGGTTTTTGATTTGCCGCATACGGTTTTTCGTTTGCCGTGTACGGCTTTTGGTCTGCCTCATACGGTTTTTGATTTGCCGCATACGGTTTTTCGTTTGCCGTGTACGGCTTTTGGTCTGCCTCATACGGTTTTTGATTTGCCGCATACGGTTTTTCGTTTGCCGTGTACGGCTTTTGGTCTGCCTCATACGGTTTTTGATTTGCCGCATACGGTTTTTCGTTTGCCGTGTACGGCTTTTGGTCTGCCTCATACGGTTTTTGATTTGCCGCATACGTTTTTTTTTGCCGTGTTTTTCACGTTAGCCGCTGTTTTGAAAACACCTTGTTGGTTAAAAATATTTATATTTTATTGGTGGACGCTTTTTTGGTAGACACAATGATGCCATATCCACCTTTCATCTCCCATTAATTTTTGTGACGATTTATTTCCATTTACTTTGACAAGGCCGACCCACAACAGTGGGAAAACAAAGTAATGCCGAGCCTTTGCCAGGCCGCGCTCTGTTCGGCGACAAAGGCTGGGCGCACAAAGATCCTTCCCAGGCGACATGAAGCAGTCCGCGTGGCTGGCGGCTGTCACCGGCTGCCCGTCTCTGCCGTTGCTGCAGCCACTGCTGTCCCCAACAATGACGGAATCACTTTCCCCGCCGACCGGCCGCCCCGCCCCGCCCCGCCCCCACACGGATTGTTGTATTAGTTCCGGCAACATGGCGCGCACACGCACGCAGCCCGCTCTTTATTTGCCCCTCGAAGCGAGGCCGGGGGAGAGGGGAAAGGGAGGGGGGCTCCACGTGCTTGAGCACCGCCGATCCGCGATCCGCGTCACATTTCAGTTCGGTATTTTGCCTTTCGTGCCCATTTGTGCCCCGCCCCTTCTTTTTATTTCTATCCTCAGTAAAAGGTTACTTTCGGCGTGGTTCTGCATCTGCCTGGTCCAGGATTCGCGCTTCGCAGCTGCCGCATTGAGTGCCACGTTCGGAGCCCTTTGGAGCAAAGCATGATGGTGGTCACTGCAGCAGATTGGATGGCCAGGCGCCAGGCGCCTCACGCGTTGTGTTGCCGTGTTGCCCCGGGCACCGAGTACGCGGCAGTCTGATTCCGAAACGACGACTTCGTCGCGCTGTCTGTCTCTCTCGCACCCCATGAGTCTCCGATTGCGACCGAGCGACGAAACCTCTGCTCGGAATCAGCCGGCAGTGCACTGTCATGACTGTCATTGCTAACCAGGAGCAGAACGCGCCGTGTGTGCTCTGCCGTGGCTCTGCGCGCGACGCACGACTCTCTCGCCCCGCGGCGGCCGGGCCTGGGGCTGCCCGGGGCTCGGCGTGGGTGGGGCGGGGCGGCCTGCGCCAGGGCTGGGTCGTCCGAGAGCCCCTCGGCGGGCGCTGGGACGGGGGACGACGCGGGCTGCGGCTTGGCTTCCCCTCCAGGCCTTCCAGGCCTTGCAGTGCAGGCCCGCGGAGACACGTCAGGACGTCGCCGTCGGGCCGCCCGGGCAGGGCAAGTTGGGCGCAGAGCACGTGTAATTACCTTGTAGTGCGGGAGAAAGTAGTGTAGCGTCCCCCGCGGTGTGCGGCGCGTGCAGTGCACTGTGGGGCGGCGGGACTGTCGTGAAGTCACCCAGCGAGAAGTCTGCAGTCGGCCCGGCTGGGCCTGGGCGGCACTCCACCAGAACGCAGTGAGCGCACTCCCGACCCGACGCGTCCCCTCCGAGGGGCCCACCAAGCCACCGCCACAGACAATGGCCAGACCCGTGGCGTGCCGGGAGAAACGGATTGACTGGCTAAACCGATGGTGGCCGAGGCCGAGGCACCGAGGTGCGCACGTTTTGCGCCTTTGCGCCGACCGGACGTGCCGCGGTGGTGGCGTGGTGGCGGCGTGGTGGCGCTGCGAGGCCGCTGGCCCCATGGCGTGGCGGCGCCTGGAGACAGGCCGCACCTCCGGCGTGCCCGCGCGGCGGCCGGCCTACCCACACGGCGCTGCCCCGCGCCAGCTAGCGCCAGCTAGCGCCAGCCCGCACGGTAAGACCACAGGACCGCACGGTTGTGTGTGCACCGCGGTACGCAGCGCGCGGAGGCCGTGGAACCTCGCGCGGAACCCGGTTCCAGACAGAGGACGGACCTTAGCAGAAGCACTCGTTTCCAGGACTGAGTCTAGCCCTTGGACGAGCGGGGCACTATTTTACAAGGTCCGTCGACTCGTGAGTAAAGAGCAGGCTCGGACTGGCCAGGGCAGACAGGCAGAAAAATCTGCCGGGGCCTTCGGGTTTGGGGCCAGTAACGCCACAAAGTTGGTCAAAAAGTAATTGAATCTCCGAAAGTAGCCGTTTTTGCTGAATTGGGGTGGCCACTGTGTCCAATCTAGTCGCCGTAAGGCCTCCGTCGAAGTCCTAGTATTCTTAAGACCCTACTCTTTCATGCCCTGTATCGGGAAGACGTTGACCACAACGATTTTGGCTTTGACCGCAACGATTTTCCTACCAAGTTGGTCAAAAAGTGACCGAATCTCGTAAATTTGCTGATTGTGCTGACTTTGGGTGGCCACTGTGTCCAATCTAGTTGCCGTAAAAGGCTTCCCTCGACGCTCTAGTATTCTTAAGACCCTACTCTTTCATACCCTGTATCGGGAAGACGTTGACCACAACGATTTTGGCTTTGACCGCAACGATTTTCCGACCAAGTTGGTCAAAAAGTGGTCGAATCTCGTAAATTTGCTGATTTTGCTGACTTTGGGTGGCCACTGTGTCCAATCTAGTTGCCGTAAAGGCTTCCCTCGACGCTCTCGTATTCTTAAGACCCTACTCTTTCATACCCTGAATCGGAAGGCACTTGACCAGCAACGATTTTGTTTGGCCGACGGTCCTCACCAAGTTGGTCAAAGGGTAAGAAATCTCGTAATGCTGATTTTGCGGACTTTGGGTGGCAGTGTCTTATCGCCGGGCTTTCCGTCGAGCTCTGGTAAAGAGCCGCGACTCTATCATACTAGGGAGCGTTGCCCGGGGTTTTGGCGCCGCAACGACCGACCAAGTTGGTCAAAAAGTGTCGAATCTCGAAATGTGCGTTTGCTGACTTTGGGTGGCCACTGTGTCCAATCTAGTGCCGTAAGGCTTCCCTCGACGCTCTGTATTCTTAAGACCCTACTCTTTCATACCCTGAATCGGGAAGACGTTGACCACAACGATTTTGGCTTTGACCGCAACGATTTTCCACCAAGTTGGTCAAAAAGTGATCGAATCTCGTAAATTTGCTGATTTTGCTGACTTTGGGTGGCCACTGTGTCCAATCTAGTTGCCGTAAAAGGCTTCCCTCGACGCTCTAATATTCTTAAGACCCTACTCTTTCATACCCTGATCGGGAAGCGTCTGACCCAACATATTTGGCTAGCCGTCGACAAGTTGGTCATGAAGGGTACAGAAACCGTAATGCTGATCTCGCGGGACCGACGGTCCTTATCCGCCGGAGGCTTGCCAGCTCGAGCCTGTACCGTCTTGCCCACTTAGGCGCCGTATGGGGATGACGCCGCGACGACGATGCCTCTGACCGCACGATGCCGCCGTGGTCAGTGGTGTGCGAAACGAGCCTGCGGGCCGTCAGTGCTAGAGTTCCTGAGCTCGAAAGCTTCTAGTACCGATAAGCGCCCACGTTTGGCTTTACTCGCCCGATCAACTGTCCAATGTTAAAAATTGAAGCTCGTAATTTGACTTTAACTTGTGTAGAATTTTGCCACAGCTTCCAATACACGTTGTAAGATAGTTACGGTTTTCTGTATAGTACAGCTTAGTCTTGTCATACAATCGGCATGCTTACTGACCACTATATACTTGACGGTTGTCGAATGTTGGCAAACGAAAAACTGTATCGGATTTTGCTATCCGCCTGGCATTTTGAAACCTCGACTCTCGTAAATCCGTACATGTCCTCCTGTACGCCATTTGGCGGAACAAATTGTTGCGCCACGCGCGACGGCTGTCTCCACAGCTTCTTGTCAGTCGTCGGTCTCATCAGTGCGACTTGCATGTCGCGTTAGCCTACCGAGGGAGAAAGTGATTCGGCCGCGGGCTGTGTTTAGAAACTGCCGCCGACTCGCAGACTGGACACTAGACTCAAGGTCAGCGCCCCGGCCCGACGCCACGCGCACCGAATCCAACTAATCCCTGCGGGGTGGTTCCAAACAGGTATTTTGTCGCTGCGTCTCTCTCGCACCCTCACTTCACCGAACAGCCCGTGAGTGCGAGAGAGATAGAGTCACGAAATCCCTCTTGGGAATCGCTCGGCTTTCCGCAGCGGCGTCGTCTCTGATTAACCGATCGATTGCCAGATGACGGCGTCCGCGCGGGACGGGACACGCACCCGCCGTACACCGCGCCGGTCCGTGGCGCGGGGCTGCAGACTGATTCGTCGCTCTGTCTCTCTCGCTCTCTTTCTCATAAAATGTGCACCTGTCGCTCTACCAGGTGTCAACACGATTTGCTCGTGACGAATATTTCATTGTCATTGCCTCGTGCCTTGGGCAAGATAAGACCGATGGCTCACGTAGAGTATAAAAATGTTGTCCCGTCAAGAAATACTGCAGTGTCAGCGCCACCATGAGTGTCAAGGTGTTCACTTTCTGCTTTGCCTTCGCGGCAGTCTGCTATTTGTCGGTAAATACTGCTCAATTCGAGTTTCGCCATGGCCTCACTGTGCCTAAAAGTGTTGAACAAGGCATGCAACTAGAAGCACTCGAGCCAAAACGCCATACACTGTAAAAAGTGATCGGAATTTTACCATACAGAGTGGTATGGTGAAAATTCCTATGCATGTATAGGAAATACCGAAATTCCGATGCATGTAAAGGATTTTTGCTATACAACAAATTGAGCTTTGCCACTTTATCATAGTTTTGGATGCATCCCTAACCGTTTGTCGACTGCTCACCAACGCAATCGGTGCGAAGTAAATCATTTTCATTTCGGCGGTGCCTGCCAAACGAAAGGGAGAATGGAAGGGATTTCTCTCCAATCCCATCTGAGAGTCAGCAAAATTGTCCGTTGCCATTTTCGATTGCTCGCTTCTCAGGTAAAATTGTCCCCACAGCAGGTGCAGGCCGGCCGGCTGCCCCCGGGACTGCCCAAGCCCAAGTCCAGCTCCGTGCTGACCGCCGCCAAGCAGCAGGCCTTGCTCCAGGGCTGCGTTCGCAGAGTGGTGAAGGGCAAGGAGAAGACCGTCCAGGGCCAGAACTTCGTCTTGTGCTTCCGCGACACGTACATGGCGCTCAAGGTCAAGCCCGCGTTACCGACAATCCTCAAGGACATGAACCAGTGCACCCGCCCGGGAGGATTCAACAGCAAGAGCGCGCTGTACACCTCGCTGGAGAACTGCGTTTTGAGCCTCGTCGGTTAGACAGAGAAGTCAACGTGGAAGCCACACTGACCCACCACTAATAAAGTAAAGTTTTCCGTTTGTGTTGCTTGAAGCTCAGTTTTTGCGATCGTAACGAAATTCCCGAAAGTACTGTAGCATTAACGCATTAACTCTGACGGTCACTTCCAAGACTAGAGCGACACCGACCGGACGAAAGGGAGAGGAGCTCGGAGAGGAGCGGCGGCGTTCGGAAAGTGGCGTGTTGGTCCAGGGACACCCAGTGACACCCCGAGTCCAAACGAAAGTGAGTGAGGCTCTTGATCGACACGCATAGCAGGTGCCGGCCTGGTGCCGGTCGGCCGGCCACGCCGGGTCCTTGTTGGTCCTTGTCTCCCCGCCTCCTTGTCGCACCGCGGCCCGCGGCACGCGTCGCCACTCGTCCGGGCGGCCACGCGCCGCACGGGGCACCGCCTCGGCACCGCCGGCACCGCCCGCCACGCCGCCTCGAACTGGAAACCGTTTCTCCGGAGAGACTCGTCTCTCTCGGCGCGGTTCTCGGCTCGCCGTGCGTTCAGGTCTCCGTCCCCGTCTCCGCCGTGTTCCTTCACAGCCTTCACACCCCTGCCGGCCTCGCGCGCCGCGGGCCTCGCTCCGAGCTGCCGGCACTGCCGGCGCATATCGGTCCCACGCATCGGCTCGGCGCATCGATTCACGAAAAGCGGCGCGGCTCGGCGTGGAGGAGCACCGCGAGGAGCACCGCGAGGAGCACGCACTCCAACGCGAGCCTCCCGCCGGCAGCCGCCTCGCCTCGCCGCCCTGCGGCCCGACACCGTTCCCTCCACGCTTCTCTCGCGCAAGGCCGCCAGGCCACCAGGCACCGCGCCCTGGCATCGCGGCAGGGGATCATGATTGGAATGATGATCGTCATGATCGGTCGTGATGATGGTGGCGGCCGCTGCTGCTCGTGCTGGCTCGTGCGCGCCGGAATGTGAGATGCTACACACAAAGACACACACGCACACACACACACACGCACACGTGCAGTACTCCGCACACGTCCATGTGACCGCAGTGATTGTGCGTATGTGAAAATACATTTTCTTCATTCTCAAGATCCTACTGAGCTTTTTCTTCGTTATACGAACAAAAAGTTTAGTATTATGACAGCACAGCGAGGGCACCTATGGTAAAGGGTTCTCAGTAACTTACGACCAGTTTCTTCATATTACGAACGAATTTCTCAGTATAATTGACAGATTTGTATCATAAAGAACTGAGAATGGGCTTAGTACAATGACGGCACGGCATTTTTCAAAGTGGAAATTGGGAGTGTTCTTCCCCTTTTTGTGTGATATGGGTCTTGTGGTATTGTGCAGCTAAGACTTGATCCAATGCCACGCCTCTAGGTTCGCATTTCGATATCCAATATGCTGGCGACGGGCCGGAATGGTGCTCACGACTACGCGCGCGTGCGTGCGATTTTGCAACACGATAGCACTGCCCGGCCCGTATCGCAACAATCTGCAAGTCTATTTTCTGGCCCGCGCGATGATTCGTTTCATTTTCAAAATCTCCCGAGAGTCCGGCGGCCGGTCTTCCTCGGTGCTCCTGTTTTTGGACGGGTACACACGTCATCGGGCCTGGAAGGAAGGAAAGCACTTTCTGTTTCCGAGGACGAGGACGTGGACGCGGACGTGGCCGCCGCTTAACGGCCGCCCGCCCCACGCCGGCCACGCCATCCCGCGGGACCTGGACTGGATGGCCGTCCCGGCCGTCCCGGGTCCGAATGGGGAGCAACAATATAAAACCAAGTCGGTTCAGAAACGGCAAGGGACCATCGTCGCCTCGAGGAACCCGGCGAAAGTCGGCAGGCCCTCTCGTCTGTGCGTGTCTCCCGCTCGGTCCCTCTGCGTTCGGTAAAAACATCTTAAACTTGTTGATAAAGACGTGTCGCCCGAATGACATCGCCGGACCGCTCGGCATGCAAATTTCGTTACGAAACTGGAATCGGCGTGTCAGCGCGTCATCGGCGTGCTCTCCGCCGAGCGCAGCACGCGTCCGACGGGTCCGGCGCCCGCGCGCATTGTCCGTGGCCAGGCGGCGCGGCGGCGCGGCGGCCCGGTGGTAGTGCGGCTTGGCGGACAGCCGGTGAAAGAGGCGGAGGCACTCGCTCGTCGCTTCTTGTCCTAGTCCTGTTCCGGAATACCTAATAAACCGAAACTGGGCGGCGCGGCATGCGTCCCGCCTGCCGCCTGCTCGTCGTTACGGGCCGCCTCGCGCCGCCGCTCTTGTTAACGAAAAAAGCAGAAAAGTGACGGCTTTCTTCCCGGCAGGGTCCGTCGGGGTCCTTCGGGTTCCTTAGCCCCTCCCACCGGGCTTGCCTGCTTCTACCACGCGTGGCCGACAGTGGCGTAGTGGGAATCAGCCGCTGCACGGGGTATCTGACGGAGGGACGGAGCAGGAATGATTGCCCACTTGCGGCACTTCCCCCGTACCGTAGACACAAGATGCCGCGACACCCCCTCGCGTGAGCGGCTGTCTACTTTCGACACCTTCCTCATTTCAGAGGCAGGCGACCAGAGCAGACACAGCGATGAAGCGTCGCGTCGCTCTCTGTCTCTCTGGCGTCCCTGCCCCCTGAGTGCGACAAAGAGAGACGAAACGACTCCTCGGAATTGCTCAGCAGGCGGCGAGGGTGGGGCCGTGGTCCGAAGCCGGCCTTGGCGACGTCAAGACCGTCAAGGCGGCGATGGGGCGTCGGCCAATGGGCGCGGAGCACTGAGCGGCGTGCTGCAGCCCCCGGGGCACCCGGCCGCCGCGCCTTCCCCGCCCCAGGACGGGACGGGAGTCGGCGGCCCGCCCGGCCCGCCCGGCCCGGCCGGCGTGGCTGGGAGAGCGGCGGCGCGGCGAGCGGCTAGTCGGGTCCTGGTCCCATGCTGGTCCTGGCGTCGTGGTCCAGAGTCCAGCATCCAGGCGATCCAGGCGCGGGGCTCAGGTGCAGCGGACAGCGTCACACTGCCCGCCGTCGCGCACGCGCGAGGTACGCCTTCGAGAGCGTGTTGGATCGCGTGTCGCTTCACGCGTGTGTGTGCGTGCGGCCGCGAGTGCGTGTGTGTGTGTGAGTTTGGAGAGCAGTCGCGCCGAATCAACGTCACCGCTTGTCGACCGCGGCGTGGCACCGCGTCCGCGTGAAGCGAGTGGATACCCAAAGGGAGGCAATCAGTTGGCGTGTGACTTGCAGTGCATCGGTTAGTTGCGAGTGACATTCGGTGGTTCGACGCCCTCCCCACGCCGCCTCTTTCCGTTCAGCTTGGCGGCCCCCGAAGGCGCGGAAGGCTCTGACGCGGTCCGGCCTGCCGCTCGCGGTGCCCGCGGTGCCCCTCCGCCGCCACCACGTCCACGCCATGCTCGTCGTGGCTCATCAAGATGTCGCCGTCCAAGCCGGTGCCGCCCATGCCGGTGCCGGGCGGCCTGGGACTGTCGCTCGCGCCGCTCGCGCCGCGCACCTGTAGGGACCCGCGCGGAAGGTCCTTTCCGCTGCCGCCGTCGGGGCGGCCCGCCTCGGCGCTCACCCGCGACAGCCTGGAGGGCTCCTCGTACGTGCCGGCGCCCAGCCGACGCCCGCACCCCGGCCGCGCCGGAGCTGTCGCGCCGCCACCGCCCAGCGGCCTCAAGAACAGCAACGGTAAGAGTCGGCCCGCCCCCGCCGCCCCCGCCGCGTCCGCAGACCCCGCGGCCCCCGAGCCGCAACGGCCGAGCCGCCCCCCGCCCCCAGGCGCGCCGCGGAACGACAAGTGCGGCCAGCTGTGGCACCTCGGCGGCGGCGTCGTCGTCCCGGACGACTACCAGGAAGGTGAGCGCAGCGGCGGCGGCGCCCCGGGCCACGACCCGACCAGGACGCCCACCGAGAGGAGAGAGGGACGCCGCGACGCCGCCACGGGGATTCGAACCGGCAACCGGCACGTTTGGCCGCGCGGAGCTGCGTAGCGGTGTCAGCCCACTTGCATACGGCCAGGTGGCAGGCGTGGCAGGCCGGCCGAGCCACCGCCTGGTTTTACGGGCCGTACGGTGCCTTTTCCACACGCGCTGCGGGCGTGGCGTGGCGCCGCGTCGTGGACGCGCAGGCTTGCCAACTGTCGCGGCCTACTGCCCCGCGGCAGCCGCGCCGCAGCCACACCCCCTGCCCCTGCCCTCGCCCAGTGCGCCCCCGCCGCCCACCCCGCCGGCCAGTGGCCGGTGGCCGCGATCTCGCCCTTGTATCATGCCCAGTACCGCAGAGAAATTCGCCGGTCGCGCCGGTTTTTCCTACGCTCTGCCCGGAGACGCTCTAGGACGCTCGGTGGCGGGGCCGGTGCCAGTGCCGCCAACATGCAGGCCGGAATGTGGGCGGGACGAGGCCAGGCTTGCCAACTGCCGCGGGCATCGCCCCGCCACGCTACGCCTGCCCGACTTGCCAGGCTGGCCGCATCGGCACACCAAATTGACGCCTGGTACCCGGCCCTAGTTGGCGCAAAGCAGCGGAGCGCACTGTCTGCCCCGCCACGCCCCGCCACGCCCCGCCACGTCCCACCACGCCACGCCACGCCCCACGGTCCAGACTCTGCAGTACAGACGCTGGACGTGAAGGCAGTTACAGGGTCGTTTTGGATTGATTGCTGGAGAGGCCCTGGAGAGGCCCTGGAGAGGCCCTGGAGAGGCCTGACGGGGACCGGGTCCGCTCCGTCCGGCGCCGGCTTGGGGACTTTCACTGACAGGGCGCCCCGCGGACGCAGCCTCGCCGCGTTCAGCGCGCTCGGCGCCTCGCTGCAACACGCCCGTCGCTAGAACAAGAACGGAGTGGAACAGAGAGCAGGCGCGGCCGGAGGGCGCATGTAGGAATGCATTGCCGCAAAAAGCCTTGCACGTTCGAACTCCTTTCCTTGTGCCTGCACTCACTGAAAAGCTGGGTAGTTCCCCTCTGCGGCCCAACAGCAGGACAAGCAGGCTCCGACTGACCAGGGCAGACAGGCAGAAAAATATGCCGGGGCCTTCGGATTTGTGACCAGTAACGTCACCAATTGGTCAAAAAGTGATTGAATCTCCGAAAGTAGCCGTTTTCGCTGAATTTGAGCG